CAGTCATCTGCCACATAAATAGACTGAAGGCTTCTGGGACCAGTTGCCCATTTCCATGCTGCTGAGCTTGGAGGCACTGGAGCAGAACAGATGTGGACAGCAGTTTGCTCAGTAACCTGATTAAAGTGTTAGCTGAGGGACATAGTGAAGGAGCCTGGAGGACTAAAATACCTTTTCAAGTTAAAAAAGATCCTCACAGGTTGTCTCTCAGTCCTTGTTGATAACCTCAGATTGTTTTATGTCCTGCAAACTGCCCAGGCCAAACATTTAAAAATCTATTTTGATTTCTGTTTTCCTTGTTTTTTCCCCTGACTGCAGCCTCAGGTAGTTTGCCCTGGTTGATACCATGCCTGGAGTGCTGTGTTCAGTTCTGAGGAAAGACAAGGAACTTCTGGAGAGGGTCCAGTAGAGTGCTTTCTTCAGCTGAAGAAAGACAAGGAACTACTGGAGACGGTCCAGTAGAGTGCTATGAATTTGATTAGGGGTCTGGAGCAACTCACTGATGAGGAAAGGCTGAGAGAGCTTGGGCTGTTTAGCGTGGAGAAGGAAAGACTGAGAAGGGCTCTTATAAATGTCTATCAGTATCTGAAGAAAGGGTATCAAAATGATGGAGCCAGGTACTTCCCAGTGGTGCCAAGCAGTAGGATGAGGGCAACAGGCAGAAAATGATGCACAAGAAGTTCCAAAAGAATGGGAGGAAGAACTTCAAGGTTGACAGAGTGTCCAGAGAACAGACTGCACCAGAGAGGTTGTGGAGTCCCTTCCTCTGGAGATATAAACCGTCCTTGATGCAATCCTGTGCAGCCTGCTCTAGGTGAACCTGCTTTAGCAGGAGGGTTGGACTGGGTAATCTCCAGAGGTGCCTTCCAACCCCAACCATTCTGTGATCAAGTAATTCTGTAACAGCCACTTAATCATCTTCTACCTTTTCTAGATTTTCCTAATTTCTTTAATAAACTCTATTTTCCCCCTTCAGTTTGTATTTCATTGATCACAATTCTTCTGCAGAAAACAGTAAATAGCCTACAGCAACAAGACTGAAGCCAGAAACACATTGATAGACTCTTATCAAGAAAAAAAAGAACTCTGCAGGTAGGTATGTTTCCTGAGGACCTCCTTTCATGGCCACGGCTGGTCATAAGTGATACTGTTTTGTGTACACTTTTTCAGTCTCTAGGTAAACTGTATCTATTTTTGTTAGCTTTTCAGGGATTCACAATTGCTCAAGTTATATGATTGAACAAGATTCACATACCACTTGATTTGCAATTTTAATTATATCTATACTGCATGTTTCACTGAAGTGTTGAAATACAGAATAAATTGGACTAGCTCAAGGAGCTGACATTTCTGGCAGACATGTCCTTGTTGCTGTAGTATGCCCAACTTCATTACTGCACATCACCTGCCTACTACCTGCAAATTCCCCATGTACTCAGCTCACATCCCTCTGTAGATCAGGGACCTTTATAACCCTCTCCAGCTACCCTTGTTTCATGCCACCCATTTATTTCCTTTCCTTCAAAGATTTACTCCTGTGTGATCCCTTCCAATTTTTTCTGGTTTTTTTCCCTACTGTAGGAAATAAATTATTCAGAGTGTCAACATACTTGAACAAGAACTGAGATGGAGGTAGTTATAATGAAATGCTAATAACTGCCAGGAAAATTACAGAGTTGTTCTTAGCTGCTAGGGCTGCCAGGCAGCTGCCAGGAGCACTATGTTTTTCCCCTACTCTTCTTTTCATTTACTGATTTTTCACCAAAATAAGGCGTTGTCCTTCAATTCTGAACTTTCAGAAAACATTCCAGCACTGATTGGATATGTCATTCAAAAGTAATAACATAATGGACAAAGAAACAGAGGAATGTTTTTCTGTTGAAATAAGGGCTTTTGATGCAGGCTTAGGATGTGCTTCAACATTATACTTATCAGTTTCCACATCCCTCTGTTGTGTCAATGCAACTCTGTGGAAAGGCTATGTTATGAATGAGACTGTTTCCATTAGCATTGATTATTTCTCTGAGCTGGCTTGCAGTGCATACTCTTGGAAAGCATAACCAGTAAAATTCACCACTCCCACCGCTCTAGCAGAGGGGCAGAAAGGCATAGCAGTTCTGTAAAGGAATTCTTACAAGAACATTAGTCCTAGAGAAATTGTTTAGAAGCACAACTTTAATTAAAGACCACTGACGCTGTTAAAATCTTCCTGTCCCTCACCTGCCTGCTACCACCTCTTAGCTAAGGTTAACATGCCACAGGTACTGAAGGATGGTTTAACATACACTCAAGTATCAGATGTGGGAGTAGTGACCACTGTAGGAAGAAAAACAGTCCAAGCTGCTTTGACTCTTTGTGAGGTGAAATATAGTCTTATGAGCTGTGATTCATGAGTGAAGATGGCACAGCAAGTGAGGCAATGGTGTATGCAAAATGAGGTTTGATTCATGGTTAACTCAGCATGTGTGTACCAGGGGCAGAACAGACAGGTAATCCAGCAGGAGTGAAGCCTCCAGACCTTGATTAGCTCAGCCAGATTTCAATACATGTACTGCTCTAGGGGTAGGCTCCTACCTGAGCACCTGCTGTTTGGGCTTCACATGCAGTCTCTCAGAAGCTGTATAGTGTTGTTTTTTCTGTTTTGAGCCACATAACTCCACTGCAGATTAAATTCACGGGATTTCAAATATCCAGGAGAAATACAGCCTATTTTCACAGGCTTTCCTTTAAAACTCGAATCAGAGGCCTTAGTAAAAGATTATTCATTATCTACATCAAAGCCATGCCCACAGGCACTGCTTACTGCACTTTTCCCTGACAAAAACGAGCTCAACTCCTTTGCAGATCACCCATATGCCAACATGTCAGCCTGCAAACATTCTATTAACTCACCTTAACAGGGCATTTTCCACATGCCACAAGCAACCCCAAAAGGACTCGGAGCTGCTGGAGATGGCTTTTCTCTATGATCTGGAGAAGGAAGAAGCACTCTGGGCATGCAGAACATCAAGGGTGTTCCTGGATGCCAGGAACTACTCTCACATCTGAAATGGTGAAATTGAGAACCTAAGCAGAGCCTTGCTCTAAAACTAAGCCAGAAAATGTGGACCTTTATTAAGCAGAGTGGGAAAAAGTGTTTGCCAGCACTGGGGTTTGCCCCACACAACCATTGTCAGTTATAACAACACAAACTAAACCTTGGAGCTGGGGCTGGTTGAGGCAGTGGCACATCTCAAGGGTTCACAGTGCTCTGGGCCAGAGCCCGCCATGCCCAAGCTCCTCACGGCAGGGGCTCACACACACCCGGGGAATGGCCGGGCCACTCTGCCCTGGGAGCAGATTGTGTCGAGTGCTGCGTGCAGTTCTGGGCCCCTCCGTTCAGGAAGGACATTGAGGTGCTGGAGAGAGTCCAGAGAAAGGCAATGGAGCTGGTGAAAGGTCTGGAGGACAAATCCTATGAGGAACAGCTGAGGGAGCCGGGGGTGTTTAGCCTGGAGAAAAGGAAGCTCAGGGATGACCTTATCGCTCCCTACAGCTGTCTAGAAGGATGCTGTAGCCAGATGGGAATTGGCACCTCCTCCCAGATAAAAAAGGAGACAACATGAAGATATAGACTCAAGCTGTGACAGAAGGTGTTCTGGATGTTAGAAGAAATTTCTTCACGTAAAGGGTGATTAGAAATGGAATTGACTTCCCAGGGAGGTGGTGCAAACATCGTCCCTGGGTTTGTTTAGGTAACTACTGCAGGAGGAACTCAGTGCCATGGTATAGTTGACATGGTGCTGTTCGGTCACAGGCTGGACTGGATGACCGCGGAGGCCTTCTCCAACCGCACCCATCGCGCATCTCCGGGACTCCGTCACACGACCCCCGCTCTTCATCCTCCTCACGGGGACACCGGGGAAACCCCGCCCCCAGGGCACGTGACCTCCACCGCCCTCAGCGCCACGGCCTGGCCCCGCCCCGCGCTCGCGCCAAGCGCTCGCGCATGCGCCGGAGAACCCGGAAGC